TGAGATCGCATGTCGTGTGAGGTCATCTACTCTAGGTGAGGTTGGATATGCCGTTCAAATACCCGTTTAACGCTACCGAACTACATCCACAATGTTTTATTTGACCGACTAGAGCGCAAGACCGTTTCCTTCGGGCGGACCAAATCACCGACACGACGGGCGGACAGTCGCAGCGAGTCGAGTTAGACTAGAGGGACGAGATCACCAGCTGGACGGAATCCGTTCACTTCACATACCGACCGTACTTACTCCCGCCACGGCTCACACCTTCCCGCCAGCCCGTGCGTCTTCTCTGGCGGCTGTGTCCGCACCGGAGCACGCGGAGGCGACACTTCTAAGCCCCCGAGCCCACAGAAGCTGGCCCTACCCGGATCGGTGAATCGCCAGCCAGCCGGCCAGTGATGCAGTCAGCGCCGCCGGCGCCGACGGCGCCACGCGGCCGGCCGCGCCCGCAGAGAACGGGTAGAAGAAGTCACTTGGCAGGCTGATGTCGACGCGCGGCGGCTGCGCGAACTGCGGCACGGCCGGCCGTGTGACGTCCACGAACGTCACTGCGCTCGTGACGGTCACCGCCAGCCGGCCGTCGGCGGCCGCGCGCACGCTCGCCGGCCGCCCGAAGCTCAGGTGCACACCGACGAGGCGCGCCTGCGGCCGCCAGGCGGCGCCGGCGCGCGCGAACGCCACCTGCCAGCGCGCGGCGGCCAGCAGGCCCCGGCAGCCGGTCGCGGTGGGCTCCGGGGACGGCTCGGGCGGGCCGCCGAGCAGCGGCAGCCACTCTCCAGCGTCCGGCGCGCTGCCCAGCGCGGCCACGGCCGAGTCGGACGCGTTGCCGGGCAGGCCGGCCAGCAGCGTGGCCAGCAGGCGGCGCTGCAGCGCGGCGCAGTCGCCGCCGGGCGCCTCCAGCCGGCAGCCGACCACAGCGTCCACGCCGAATGCCAGCGGCCTCCAGCGGCGGCGGTCGGTACTGCAGCCGCCGCCGCGACCGGGAGAGGGCAGCAGGATCGGCTGGCCGCTGATCGGCTCCGGCCGCGGCGGCGCGCCGTCCACGTCGGGCGCCAGGCGCGCCGCGAGCAGCGGCAGGCCGCGCTGGTAGCCGGGGTTACCGCTGCGGCGGCGCGGCGGCGGCGCGCCGGCGCGCAAACTCCAAGCGCCAGGCGCTGGCGCACAGCGGCGACCGCGCGCCAACGGGTCGCCAGCACCAGCTCCAGCCGCACGGCCGAGACACGACCCGGCGCGCTGCTCCACTCAGCAGCCGGGCGGACACGAGGGCGTCCAGCACGCGGTCGTCGGCCAGCCGCGGCTCCGGCGCCGCCGACACCTGTAGCAGTGAGACGGCGGCGATGGAAGCATGGCCGGCGATGTAGAGGCAGTGCAACGACCCAACGGCGGCATACTATTGGACAGTACCTCGGCTCTGACCTGAACTACCCGAACAAACGCTGCGTAAGCAGGCAACAAACATGCTGTGTCAGCATGACACCAGCCACGGAGGTCGGCAGCGGCTGTCAGGCCCCGACAAGGACGGGGCGGCACCAGCGCTTCAGCACCTCCTCCGACGCGCTCCGGTCCGCCCCTACCCGGCGAGCTCACCTGGCGACAGTCACCCTTATCAGAGCAGAGGTACGGCTGCACAGGCACGAGAGCCGACGCCGGCCGCTCCGTGGCCTCTTCCGACGGCTCTGGCGATGCTTCGCACTGCAGGATCACCCGACTCCTGGCCAAGCGAGAACCGGGTCAGGTCAGATCACCTCCGGTTAGGTCGGCTGCCCCTCACCATCCCCCCCCCCCCCCCGATCAACAGCAACGACTCGTGTCAAAGTGATGTCATACACCATCCGCACAGCATTGTAACACATTACAAC